ATTTCTTTCGTTCACAAAGGTCTCAACATAAGAACATATTTTAAATAAATACATTGCTTCAGATAAATCCAGATTATTTCTAGTATTTTGCCTCAAAGTCAATAGGATTCACCATTTCATCTACAGAATTTATTTGCTTTACTGCTGACTCTTAGCATGCTGACCAGTTTCACAATCTGCTTTTTCCTGCTGCTACATCTTTTTGCTGTGTCATTCTATTGGCTAAAAATAGATGTTTGAAGAAATTTCTGTTTTATCCTTGAATATTTTCCTCCACAACAGGATCTCAATCCTTCAGTGTAGTTTGCAGGCTCCACAATAAAATAAATAGCAAATAATGATAATGCAGGCCACCATAATTTCAAGAAGGCCAGAGCTTTCTTTATCAAGAGCATAAATTATTCCTTCATTCTTTGCAAGATCCTACAGTGTGTATAGGTGAGAGGGGGAAAATATCTCAATCCTCATTAAGACCTGAGATGTTTCCACACAATAAATTCAGAATATCTGGTAAAATGTTGAAGTTGCACTTTGAGGCCTCCTTTACTTAGAACAGCTGCAGCTACACAGTAAAGTTACAGCCTCAATCTGGCACAGCAACGCTGCACTGCAGCTATGAGATCCCCTTTGCTCTTTGAAAGAACAAGCCCATATAATCCCAACACTGCCCTATAACCAGTGCATTTCTTTGCAGTATTCTTGTATTTCTAAGAGCAAATTCTTTCCAAGTCCCAAATGCTGTATTTACCATGAGTGTACACACAAAGTGGCTGATGAGAGCCTTCAGAGATCCTGCACACTTTCAAGTGGTATGACCTAGACTGACATGAAGTGGTCCATAAAGCTCATATTCTAGATATAATAATACTGTAAAACTTTATAGCTAAGGCCCTGGAAAGTCAGTGTGTGTCTATTTATGTAAGTAGTGTCAAAACCAGCAAGCTCAGGAAAATAATCACTGCAGCTTGTTTCCTGTTGAAGGTATCTCTGGGCTTATACATTAAAAAATCACACTTTTAATTAATTGTCTGGCTTTCTCCCATAACACTTTTTTCTGTCATTGGGGAGAAAAAAGTTAGGTAAGGACAGTAAAAGACTGCTGTGCTACTCTTTGTGTCAGCTGTGCAATGGAAAGGAAAAAGTACTGAAAACCTAAACAGGGACCTGACAAAGGAATTGTATTTAACCCGGCAAAGAGTGCTATACTGGCAATTAGCCCAGCCTAACCAATATCCCTAAAAATTCATGAGATATCCCTAGAATAATTTCAAGGAAATGCTATTGCCAAGATCTAATTTTCATTTAGGGATAAAAATAAGTTTGTAGAAAAAAAGGGGCAAATAGGTGGAAGAAGGGAAAACTGCTGTATTTTCTTCAACGTCACCCTAATCTCCATTGGTGGGAACAATGAGAAACTTGTGGGTATGACGTCACTGCTACATGCAACATAAATAAAGAAAAGAACCAAAATACTGAACAAAAATACTCTCTGCTAGAGAAAGACAGGTTGGACCGCACTCTGGGCTACAGGGAACCCATTTTTACTCACAATAGATCACTATCAGTGTGCAGTTAAAATATAGTAGGGGCCGTGTTCCAAGGCAGCAAGAGGAAAAATAAATCAAAAGTTTGTCAATTGTCATAGATTACAAGAAATTCCTTCAAACACATCAATGTACACATGATTTGTCCTCTCTGGGGTTCAACCCCACCGTTCACAGCAAGCACTGTCACTGGAAAAAATATATAGAGAATTAGACCATAGTTGTTGCACGAAATGAAAGAAACAGGAGGAACAGTTCATCCAGTTTAGAGATTTCATCCCAACGTGGCATGTGTTTTATACAAATATATACATATATTTGGCCTCTTGCTGCAAAAACTACAGTTAAATGGAATAGGAAAGAGATTGAAAACATTAAAAAAAAATTAACATTCTGCGAATAAAATTTCCACACAAGTATTTCTTTGGACAATATGCCATCAGCATTTATGTGTTATTCAGGGAGTGAGATGGGTAAGGAGAAAGGGATGGCAAAGAAACTGCAAAAGGAAAGCAGGATTACATTAATTATCCTTGGCCTTGTAGAAATGTACTGATCTGCCCTGAATTATTAATATTAGGCCTAACAAGTTTGGACAAATGGCTATGTAGGTCAGACTCACGTTTAGACCCCAACAATACCCCAAGCTAATATTCAGAAAGTGTCTAAACTGAAGCGCAACCTCAGATACATTATTCAAGAATGTGAATTAAGTATTATGGGAAACTGCAGGAATTAGAGCCACCATAATTACGTTTTCCATTTCTTTCACATCTAATTCACCTGAATGTGTCAATATTTTTATATACAACCTTTCCTTTCATCTTACATATTTTCCACATTTAGCTGCCTCTAATTACCATGCTACTCGCTCATTAAAGCATGTATTTGTCATATACAACTATACAGATGCATATGCATGCAGTGTCAAAAATCAAATTGGCATAGTGATGTATTACATGTTGACATAAGAGTTGATAGTTTTCTAACCCAAAAGGGAGAAGGTTTTCTCAATTTATGCTTTGCTTTGGTTAGAATTGCATTTTTAAGACCAATGATTTGCATCATTTGCAGATGGATAACATATCTAAGTCTTTTCAAAAGTGATTAGTGATTTGAAAGCTAAAACATTTTATGAGAATAACATTCTGCACTAAAGACTTACCTTAAAAACAAACCCAAACACAAAAAGCAGGTCCCATAAAAGGGATTTCAAAATTGTCAACAAAATTTGAGAAACAAAAATCACTAATTACTATTGAAATTTTTCATTTCATTATTTTTCTGACAGCTCTTTAAAATAAAAGCAGTTGCCTTATTTATAATACTTGTGAGCATGCTCCTCATTGAAAGCTCTTTGAAAGCTCTTCTCAGCTCTTCTACAGGCTGCCTGCTATTGTGGTATCTGTGACCCCTTGTGTGTCTAAGAAACAGCAGGAGAGAGGGCAGACTGAGGAGAGGGGAGATGATAGGGAAATTTAAGATGTTACTCTCACTGACCATTATTCTTCACCTGACTCAGAGGATTCCTTCTTAGTGCTCCAACAGCTCTGAGAGCCACCTCCTCCTTCTGCCTCCCTAACTCCGTCTGTTTGTTTATCTGCCCAACAAACTTTCATTTATTGCACTTATATGTGTGACCATGCCATTTGTAACCCTTCCAACTGCTACTTACACAAATTGTTACTCTTGCCTCTCCAAGGCTTTACTGCTGCTAATATCCATTGTGTTGGCTGGGTCATACCCTTTTTTCTCCCAGGTTTCAAAGTACTGAGAAGGTTACCTTGATTCTCATTACTGTATAAAAATAAAGGGCTCTTAACCTTTATAATGTGAGTTCCTGATTCCTATCTTCTAGCAGATGACAATGAAAAGTGTAGGTCTCATGTTAAACTGAGAGATCTTTGGGATTTATTACATTTTTAAGCGGGACATGTTTAAAAAGCATACACCATGTGAAGGAGGAGTATAGAAGAAAATAGAAATAAAATAGTTTTTTTGGTTTTGTTTTTTTTTCCTGACAGAACCAGATAAAATTAAGCAGGTAACATATTTCTCTTTAACTGTTGAGTAATTTTGAAAAAAGATTTCATGAGAGTCACAGACCCCTGAGGCATCTGTAACTGGCTTTACCAGAACTTACTCAGCAGACTCATTGGCTTTGGCAGCAGTTCAAAGGTCACATTCTCACATGGATAAACTGTTCTTGAACAATTTTTTTCCAATATGTTAGGCAATGCATACATTCCTTCCACATCAGGCATGCTTTCCATGTGCTTTGCTCTCCTTGTGGCTACTGGGAAGATAAATACCATTTTCTGTCAGTTCCAGCTTCTTTCTCCCTATCATACTATTGTTCCACACTCGTGGTGTTTTGGAGGACAGGAGTTTTTTTAAAAATCTCCAGCAACAAATTTTTTTCTTTTGAAAATGATCTTCAAGACTTCATCCATTTCAGGTACTCCAAAAGGCAGAGAATGTTTAGCTTAGGCTTTCTTCCATCCTCTATAACAGTGCACTGATAACTGAAGCTATACATAAGAGAGCTTTTTTTATAGCAGACTGAAGCTATAAATAAGAGAGCTTTTCCCCTTTTAAAAGTAATGGTAAAATAGGCATGATCAAGCCCTTCTGAGATCTCTCAATTTACTTAATCAATACTTTTAAACTGAACTATCTTTTTCATGGCAGAATGCCATGGAATGCACATAAATATTTATATATTCAATGAGAAATTGATTCTTAAATAATTTTGCTATTGGTATTACAAATATGCATGGGTCAAGCACATCTTTGGTCAAAGTGTGGTTGTGATAGCTCCTGAAAAAGGTCCTTGCAAAGTATATATGGGTAAAATGCTGATTGCCGCATATTTATAGAAATTCAGATGCAGTCTCATCTCCATTCAAACACTCATTTCTTCATTAAAAACTGTCCAGTTTAAGAACCTAACTAAACTTAATATTAGCATTACAGCTAAAAAGATATATGTAAGAGGTGCTAATATTTAATTTCTTCCAGACAACCCTTTCCTCCACTAAAACTGTTCATTTATTTAAAAAGAAAAAAAATTTCAATAGCTATATGATAAAATATGATTCCCTAGTTTCTTCTCTTGGAGAATCTGCATGTTATGAATGAGAGAAAAACTTCACTGTTGGCTAATTCTTAACTCAGAAATCTCCACAGTTAAATTTAGCTTGACTTAATTCTTCAGTTTTTGTTAGCATTGGTCTTTAATTTACTTTTTAATGAAGACACAGGTGTGAGTGGTGTGAAATGTAACAAAAACACATGGACTTCAGAAACTCAAATAGCACTTCCTACATTGGTGTGCATTTATTTCTTAGCCTTTCTGTACCACTGTGTAAAACATGTAAATGCATGTACAGGTATTCTTCAGGGCTGAACAGTTCATGAAAAGGAGAGGAAGGGAGGGATAGAAATATTACTTACGCCGTTTGCAGCCACATTTTTTTATCCTTTTGGGATCTGTGATGTCATCATGACAGGCCTTGCAGTAAAAATATGCCCTGGAGAGACAGAATGGAAAAACTGACACATTTCTTAATCCTTATAAATGAAATTAGTCCTATATTTCATCTTGTTGCAGTGACCAATTAAGGAAATGCGCCAATGCTAATTTACTTTAATCTTTGCAAAGGTTTGGACATTGAAAGTAGGAAATATTTGCTGCAAGACTATTACTTTCAACAATAAGCTCCAAATTAGTATTTCCTTTAATACACTTTTATTTGAAAAGTAATTGGAAGAATGTATGATAACTATGCCACAGTGTATTAGTTTATTTGTTGTTCATCTTAGAAAAAAGAGCATCTAATGAACTTAATCACAAAAAGGACTTTTTGTTTTCATCAGCTACCAGGGTGGTTTTTTTAAAAGACTGTCTAGCACCCTGTGCAAATTTTTCAGCTAGGACATTTGATCATTACTGTATGATCAACACTGTATGTTGATCTTAAACAGGGGTAGAAACAATGACCCTATTGGCTTGTCAGCCTCACCTCTGTGCCTGAAAGATCGTGTAACAAATCCTCCCAGAAGCTGTGCTGAGGGACATGGAGGACAGGGAGGTCATTCAAGAGAGGGAGCACAGCTTCACCAAGGAAAATCCTGCCTGACCAACCAGCTATGATGGAATGACCACATCAACAGACAGGGAAGTACTACAGATGTCATTTGTCCAGACTTCTGTAAAGTCTTTGAGATGGTCCCCCACAACATCCTTCTCTCCAAACTGGAGTGATGGATTCCATGGGTGGATTAGGAAGTGGTTGAATGGCCACATCCAGTGGGTAGTGATCTATGGCTCACAGTCCCACCAGGCACCAGTTACAAGTGGTGTCTCTCAAGGATCTGTACTGGGACGAGTGTTATTTAATACCTTCATTATTGACACAGACAGAGGCATCAAGTGCACCCTCAGCAAATTTTCAGATGACACCCACACATTTTGCTGACAGTATGAGAACGTTACATTGCTACAACAATTAGGAGGCCACTGAAACAAAACTATCTACAGTCCAAAATATTAAAAAAAACCACAAAACCAAACCAATATTTATATACAGCCTCTGATTAAACACAGCCTTTGCCCCTGCAGCCAGGATGATTACTACTATTTCTTCTAGATTAATTATAGCATGGCCACTGCAGGTGGAACTATACTGGTAGTTAAGTGACCCATCATGAGAAAGACAGCAGGTCTAGCATAGAAGAAATGAACCACATCAATGCTTCATATTGGTTCAAATACAAATTGAAATTGCAGGGAGACCTCACTGAATGCTATTAACATTTCTAAAATCAATATAACATGAAGCTACCAATGGAATATGTAAGTCCTAAACCTAGCACACTTTATTTCTCTAAGAAACTCACAGGAAGATTACTCTTTCAGGCTGTGAAATTGCCTTAGTATTTCCAAGATGCAAAATGTAAAAGGAAAACATCTTCTCTGAGCATGTATACTTTGCTGCAGAAAGTTTCTGGTCTTCAAGATATTCACATTCCACCAAAAAGAAAATCAACTACTTCCAAGGAAATGAGAAGAAAGTGTTTTTCAAACATGAGTAAATGTCAAGATGTAAGCCAGGAGGAGAAAACTGCCTCAAATTTTTAATCTCCAATCCAGCTGTAAAGCCCCTTTATTAAACAAGAATCAACTACCACAAATAGTCCATCACCAAAACTTCACAACATGAACTGGATATTGTTCCTTGCTAGAGACCATGTTTCTGAAGTTCACTGCAGCACAACTGTCCTAAAGGGTACCTTCAATCCCACGTCCAAAGTAAAGAATAAATACCAGGAGCTATTGCTGTAATAAAATTATTCTAGATAATTGGGGTAAATTAAGTGGATTTGAAGAATGTGGATTTCTGGCACTCATGTTAACATGCAAATGAACAAGGAATAATGAAGATGCAATTCGGGTAGTTTGTATTATATTTAAACAGTCAACATTTTATGTGAAGCTATTTACCTAGGCATAACTGTTTGTAGGTATAATTGCTTCTTATGGGAAACTATTCTTCTGAAAATGCAAAAATGATTCTAACAGAAAGAGTAATTGAACATTGTAGGTTATATCTCATTGTGGGATATATAAATATGAATAACTTTAGCTTAAGGGGGTTGAAATGTCTTCATTAACAAAGCCAGAATAATTTAATTTGCATTTCAGGTATAAAACATGTTTCATTATGCTTTATTGTATAATCATTTTTCCCCTCCAAAAGATCTCAATTTTAGAACATATTTCTGAGTCTGATTGATAGCTCAAAGGGTGAAATTAACACTTTTCATAATTGGCTTTGTTAGTAGAAACACATCTGATAACCATTTGCTTTGCACAGAGCAGCTAAGAATCGTGGCAAGGGAGGCAGAGTATTTCTAAACATAACCTTCTGCCAAAAGCCAGACTGAACTGGAAATCCTGTTTCATGTTCACTATCAAATAAAACGTGGCAGATGAATGATGTGAAAAAATTGTCTAAACGCCTTTATAACAGTTAACTTCTCCCTAATCTTAGCAGTTAAAGTATTATGCCATTTTACTTAGTCTGAGAAAAAGTTCATTGCAGAGTGTAAAATGCCTTATAAATGAAAGAAAACTAGCAGCTCAGTAAAGCAATGTGCAGACAGTTCTGGATGTTCAAGTGGAGGAAAGCAGCAGAGAGGAAAGGAACAGAATGCTGCAAGGCAGAGTCCCTGAGGCAGTGCAGGATGCACAGGCTCCAGGGATGGTGCTGGAGATGTGACAGGACAGGAGCACTGCTGCCCTGTTCTGTACATTTCACCTACCCAAAATCTATCTCAGCTCTTTCAAGAAAAATAGAAGTCAAGTTCTCCAATTTCACTGTTTTGGTGTTTTGACTTTCTTTAAGTATGCATGGCAAGTAGGCATTGTTAGGTATTATTTCACTATATTTAATCCTAAAAGTTTGGAACTTAAAGGGTATCATTTAAATACTTTATCATTTTAAGTATAGGACTTAGGTAAAATACCAAATTCATGGAGAACAGCAGTAAAAATCTGATTGCATGACTCGTAACAAAGATACAAATTATGAGGAAACATTCAGTCGCAAATGTTCCTTTTTTCTTTTTTTTTAATCATAGGGACACTGAATATTTTTCTTTGAAAAATTATTTTATCATCTTGCTCTTTTGTTCCTTCCAAGCATACTATAATCCTAACAAACAAGACTACACACATTTGGTCCTCAACATCATAAAACTCCTTTTCCTTCACCCCAAATCTAGCACACCCAGGTACATTGAGCCTGTGAAGTTGGCTGCAATGGATATAATGCACTTTTGTAGTTTGATTTCTTATTATGACGCTGTGGGGTTTGCAGTTCCATTAAAGGAAAATGACAAGAACATAAATATTATTTTGCTAATGCAATTACAGAATAAACACAGCAGCTAACTCGCATCAAGAATTTGCTAAAGTCTGCGTAGATAAGAACTCCTCTAAACCAGAATTTAACAGAAGTGTCATCCTTGTCCTCCTCTCTCATAGTAATTCCTCTCAGACACAATAGGTATAGAGAAAACAAATGAAAATATTTCACATTTTCTAGGAGGACTCAAAAACCCAGTCTGTTTATTTCTTTTCATATCTGCTGCAAATTTCAGTTCCTTGGTACTTAGGACAATAGTTAGGAAAACTACATGCACATAGGTGGTTCAGGAGTAACAACTCACCCCCCCACCCCCTCTGAATTTTTAAACAGATGACAATGAAAATTAGGTGAAGCATTTACATGTAAAGAAAAAAACTGAAATTAAATATGTTTGTTTCTATTCAAAGATAAAAACATTTTAATTACCTTTTTACTTCTTTGGCATCACTTGCAATGAAGAATCCTAAGGTACCTTCTTGAATCTTGACGTGGTTTCCAGGATTGATTAATATACTGCTCAGTGAAACAAGAACAAAACCAACAAAACAATAAGTTTATATTTATTTTAGCTGAATCTTCCAAATTAGCTTCATTTGATTCTGTTATAGGGGACCCACTATTTAGGAAAGGCTGCAAGGAAATTTTAAGCCCTTCTTCCTTGATATTTCCAATCAAATAAGAGTTTCACATGCGTTTTACAAAAACTTTAGTATGAGACAGTCAAATGCCTCTGCCTATAATCACATAATCTAAGTGCTCACATCTGTTTTCTTATCTTTTTGCTTTAATTATAGACTACACAAAGTCCTCTCAGAAATGTGAAGTGTGAAGCTGAGCATTGCTGTTTACTTGCTCTCTCATGCAAAGTGGTGACAAATTCACAATATGGTGAAAAGGAAAAAGCCACTGCTCAATAACAACAAAAAATATCACTTATGAAACTAAACCCTTGGATGCAAATTTTTGCCAATTTCTAGTGAAATAGAAAGTTAATGGGACCCCTATCTGGACATATAATGTTATTTTTTAAAATAATAAATACACACATACACTCAAGGGGAATGGTACAAGACAACCAGTCACGACAGCTGAAAAAACATAAAGTGAATAGAAAATTTTTAAAACACTGCTATGCAGCCATGAAAGAACAAAAATAACCCAACCACCACGGCAGAAGAGCCTCAGCTAACTTTGACAAAGGAACTAGTATCAACAAGTGAGGTACTCCATGTCTATGAAATATCTTTATTTTTATAATAATTTAAATCTAGACTTTAGGAAAGGTGTTTTGCAAAGCACCAAGCTAAATGTGAATATACAGATAAATATAAATATATTCTCCAGTAAGTTTTATTCATGTGAAATATATCTAAGCTTTTGACTCTCTAAAATTTAATATCGGTTTTCAAAAGTTTTCTCTTCATCTTTTATTAAAGTTCAGCTTTTCTAACTCAAAATGTAATAAATGCATATGCAATTTAGAGTAAATAAAAGACTACCAGGAATTGAAACACTTGTCCATCTAGCAAAAATTGGTTTTATGGAAGTACATATACACAAAAATAAAGCACAATGCTGAACAGACATACATTACTAAAATTTGAAGGTCCAAAGTCTTTCATGCTATTGATAGGAGGGAAAATGGATCTCAGTACATCTCTTATTCAATATGTTAAGTACTCTCTACACATTAGGAATGAATTAGTATGACAACATAATATATCTGAAAGATTAATAATGTGCACATTTTTTTGTGTAATTCCACATGCCCACAACACCCTATGACAAGAATATGCAGGCCACAAAATAAAGTGCTCATGAGTTCAGAAGTAAAAGGTTGGTCATGAAGTCATATTTCAGCCCCCTTTATGTAGACGTTATGATACAGTTCTTAATTTAATACCCACAAACCCCTTCCTTCTCACAATCTGAAACTTCACTCAGTGGTGTTTTACTGCCATTACTTCAGGCATGGCTTCCTGTAATTTATCTCTCCTGAAAATCAGCATCAATTTTTTCTTGTGTGTTTTTCTGCAATGTTCATCACTACAGCATGCAAAAGATTCATAAACAATTTTTTTGACAGGAAGAATGAAGATATTGTATTACCCCATTTTACAGAGGAGAGATTAAGTAACTATAAGATTTAGTACTTATTAATTTGGGATGCCTACAGGCCAAATTTTTTTAAGTGTTTAGCATTGCATAGCTCACACAGACTTTCTAGGAACTTTTGCTGTGAGAATGCTCAGCATTTCCAAAAGCCCAGCCTCTGATTCGCAAAATAATGAATATACTTAATCAGAGATCAGCTGTAGAAAGTCTGGTTTAAATTATTATCTCCTGCTCACACAGACAGCCTGTGTCAGAGTCTGGAACAGAAATCAAATCTCAAAGAAAGCATCTACCCAGATATCCTTCCCTTTCCTTCCCTCACAGTTTCAAGCTTTGCAACAAATAAAAAGGAGAGGAGAACTACAGGAATTGGAAGGTATCACCACAGAAAGCAGGTTCATTTCCACAGCACACTTTACTAATATTTGCAAAAAATGAAAAGTGATGGTATAAGGAACACCTGTATTATACACACAGATAAATGGGATGAAATAAAGTTACACAGCTAAACTAGTATCATCCACCACCAACCAGTATCATCTCTTGTCATATCTAGCATTTCTTTGTTAGCGAATTGGGCCTAATGGCTGCAGTCACAATGAAAACTTCCAATTTCACAGGTTTAAGATGGAATAAAACAGATAAAAGAAAAAAATAAAAAGAAACAACTACAGAAGAATTTCTTCATGTGAAACCAGTTACTCAGGTCAAAAATAGAATGGCAAATTTAGCTTTCCTGCACAAGCTTTTGTCACCTGAACACACAAAGTACTTCCTAGCACTTGCAGAGTGCTGTACTGGCCATCTTAATCTCCACCTTTCCTCCTCCCTGCCTGCTAGTACATTGAGAATTTAGCTGCTAAACTAAATAATCTTCTATAGAGGCTAATCTCATGTATTTATTATACTGCTCCTTATAAAATAAGTAAGGTCTTGTAATTTGGGTTGGCTGTGTTTCTTAGGTACAAATGGGTACTGCTCTAGCTGAAAAATACTTTTTATTTCCTTACTTGATTCTTAAGTCACATAAGTGTTACAGCTTTTCAGTGAAAAATGATGAACACATTTATTTTCATGGACCCAGGCTGGTTTTTTCCCCCAATACAATTCTTGGATATGGATAAACCATAACAAAGAGGAAAAAAAAATCCTACCTAAATCTCAACAACCCAAACTCCACAAACTGAGGTAACCACTAGATCTATAAATGTTCACTTCTCATAATGACACTTAAAATTTGATGAAGTAATAAACAAATGAGGCTGCTCTTCTGAGATGCATGGAATATAGCCTTAAATAGGAAGTAACTGGCTTCATTTAGGATGCAATGTATTGTGAACATGATTCTGTATCTCAAGATTTTCTGAGACACATGAAATCAATTCACATGGGTCAGTGTACAGACTTTATTTTTGTCAGATCTTACACTTCATTCACATATACCTCTTTTCACAAATACAATCTATTTATAACCACAAAATATAGATGTGATCACAGTTAATGCTTCTGTTGGATGTGAAAATTAATTTGCTCCATCACTGCTACTGACTAAGAGTTACAGAAAAAGGTCATAAAGCTTTGGGCTTATATACACACCAGAGCAAAATCATGAGCAGTTTCTACTGAGCTGTATGGATACATTAAATGTACTGCTTATTAAAGCTGCAACTCAATTATTTCTTATGACACCTGTAGTGTCCTTAGCTGAAGTTATGCTTTGATAGGCACTCACTCTAATATATTACAGCAAGTGAAATGTTTTGAATTAAAACAGAATATAGGGAACAAACAACACAGAGAAAAACAAAACAGTCTTCTGAGTATTCCAAGAAAAATGCATCCATCAGTTATTTAGAGATGCATGTGTTTTTTCAATATGAAAATATGCACATATATCCCCATAGCTGAGAATACAAGTACATGGTAAACTAAATAGGAGTTTTAGGAGCCACAGTTTCAGCTAATGTCTCATTTTTATATATATCCAAAGATACAAAGGTGAAAAAGGAAAAACTCAAGAGGTTTAAAAGCAATATATATAGCTAGTCCATACGCATTTTGTGCCACACATCAGAAAAAATATTACTGAAAATGACACTGATTTTTCCAAATACATGTTTTTAACATAAAGCCCAACTTGATTTTTTTATCTGCTAAATCAGCTCATGAAACCAAGCAAGAAAGGCCAAGAACTTTAGAATCTTGTAAGATCTTGATCAAACTTTGTAATTTTAAAACATTCCTAGTTTAGGTTATCACACAAAGTAGTCAAGTAATAGCAAGCTTAAAACCATGTAGTCATCATTTCTTTAATGACTGCAATTCCAGAAATACATCCCTCAGGAGAAAACCTCTCATGACAGGGCTCACATGATTGCTTGCTCCTTCACACATGAATGTTTAGGACACATGGCAATTAAAGCCATGTAAATGAAATATGATTTAATGTTTTCAATGGGAATTTAATGTACTTCACCATCACAAACTTAGGAGAAGTCAGTTCCATTACTTTTTGATAATATTATAATTAGAAAGCCACTTGTGGAATAGAATATGCACTGTGGAAATCTGTGTTTTACACTTATCTGCAAAAGTCACCCCGTTTGTTATTAAAGATTCACTTGGTGACTAGATGCAGGGTCATGCACCTAAGAGCAAGGAAAATGTCCCACACTGAAAATGTGGATATCACCTTTAAATTCAGTTGGACTCCTAGGAATCACAGAATGGTTTATGTTCAAAGAGATCCCTAAAAATCACCTAAGTACAACTCCCATGTCATGGTAACTAGAACAGATTTCACTAGAACAGATTGTTCAAAGCCCCACCCAAATTTACACTCAACACTTAAAACACAGGAAAGAATCATTAATATTATCTACACAGCTGAAAATGTGTTCCCAGACTGACAGAAATATTAGCAGGTGAAAAACAAATGGAAATATACACAGTTTCAAAAAAACCCCCAAAACTCAAACAAGGTCACAGAAATTCCAGACAAATGTTTATGGCTTTTTTTACATTCAATGAAAATTTCAGATTGGACATGATGACTTTTTCATATGACAGGGGAGAACAGACATCTGTTCATGTTTCTCACTGGGTGTTAATTGTGCCCAACTTACTTACTGAATTGTATCTTTCTGATATTTTAAGTATACATGCTACCTTCAATACAGAGACATAAAAATATCAGTTCATCCATCCTTATCTATCTAAAACTGCTCCAGAACACGAGTGCTGCTCAATACCTCTTTTGGTAGTGCATGGATGATTGACTCCAAAAGACACCAATATTCTGACCTAGCTGAAGCATACCATATTATATCTTCCTTTAAAGCACTAAAAGTAAGCTAAGGTTTCCTTTACTAATTGTGTGTTCTATGTTTTTTTTAACGCAAAGGTAATTGATGGAGAGCCTAATAATTGGAGACTCAAACTGTAAGACAATTTGTGAACTGACATTTGGGGTGAGACTAACTCCTCCAGCTATTTATTTTTTACTCATTTTTGCTGCTAGGTCCTGCTTTCAAATATCACACATATTTCACTCAAGTTATGTTTCTTGGTCTAAAACACTCTTACAAAGTTATGGAAAGCTGATAGCTTTTCAAAATACAAAAAATATTTAAAACATTACTTCTAATAATTTATCAGCATACAGAAGATTTCAGTAGGAGATGAAAAATGTTTCCTGTAGCTTTCTAGACTATTCAGCCATCTTTAAGGTGAACTCCATGGAAAAAACAACCAGTCTGTGTCAGAGTCTGATCCATCACTATGCAGTATGTATTTACTGGTCGGCCACTTGCTAAGTGGCACGGCTCCACAATTTGCTTTGCACAGCTTGAAACTGAGGAGGCTTCCACTACTGCTGAATTGTGAATGGATGGAACTTTGAACTCTTAATCTAGACAGAGTAGTACAGTTGCTGACACTCACATCTGTCATCTGCATAATTGTCAGCCTTCTCTGAGAAGAACAAAAGAGGGACCTTAATAATATGGAACAGTGCGGTGAAAGTCTTTAAACTGAGCTGACAAAGGCACGTGGACATGCCCAGCAAGTACAGCACAGCAAATATGCAAGGGTAATGATATTTTAGCAGCACTTCATGAGGACTACAAACTGAAAGCACAGATAAGGTCAACCAATAGAGACATGGAGCAGGAGAGGCCTTTTAAGGATTTTCCTTATCCATGCCTCTGTTATGTACTATTCATTCCTGTTTGGTCTTACTTTCAACTTTACATTTTAGACAGCACTAAAGGTAGGATTCATCTCATCTACTTTAGGATCGAATTCTAATGCATTCAAGAACTGTCCCTCTCTTCCCTTGCAATGATGGACTAAGTCTGGATAACTAACAGGAGACTAGACATTTAACAATTTGATTGACAAAGTCAGGTGTGATGAAACCCATTATCAGGGACCAATGAACAGTTCATCCCTGCATCAAGGAAACCTGTCTGATTTAGTAACCCTACTTCTTTTTGTTTGTTTGTTTGCTTTCAGCTGTATGGCTACCTGCGTGACTGCCATCACCCTACTCTAAAGAAAAAGAAAGACCAATTGTTGAAATTAATGAAACACAAACACCAAAATTTTGACTAAACGAATGGCAAAAGCTGTAACAATCCTGTTTTAAATCTTGTGGTAGATGTACTGTACCATTCCCCATGCAACTCAAACAGCAGCAATATTATCTAGTAATCAGGAAGATATAATATTTTTAAGTACTTTAAATACATTATCTAAAACAAAATCATGTGGTATCATTTACTATAGCTACTATACTTTTAGACAAAACCAGCTATTTTCTTGATTGTTTTACGCTATGCCCAGATTAAAAGTACCACTATTAGCATAATGGACTTTTAAAACACACCACACCATTCATCCAACTACAGAAGTAGCTGGAAATATTTCTTTTCAGGGTATGTTTTGAAGTGGAGTGTGAGTGTAAATGCACAAATCCCATAGTGGGAGTTGTGCACACACCAGTTCTCACACTAATTGTAACTCACAAATATTGCTTCTTTTTTCTGGGCTCTATCACTGACATGAATTCATAATGCTCTATACAGTAAAATCTAGTAAGACACTGAAAAGAATACAAGGCAAAAGACACAGTGCACATTACATGCTACAGTACATTAAAGCTTAATTACTACAAGCATATAAAAGGTTGCTCCCAGGACTTAAGTTTTTTACAACAGCACCTAAGTCATCGTCTACAGGATGTGCATGAGGTATTTTATTTGGGCATACTCCAAACTAGTTCAATAGTGATGGTGAACTCAATACACTTGAAAACAATTAAATTATTCCTTCTGGTTCCAGAAGTGGTTCATTATCAGTACAATGAGGCAGAACAATAAACTTTATTCTGGGAGCAAGCAACTTCACCTGGTACAGCACCTCTTCATATTGCTCATCATGCCAGCATTAACATGCCTTCACCACAAGATAAGATATACTTAAAAGCAAGAAGCAAAGTAGAGGTGCAACAGCTGCAGATCCTTGGAGATGCTAAGTGTTGCAGTAACTTCTCTGCAGTTGGATCATATCAATAATCCCAAACTGACAGGAAGCCACCTCTCTTATCACACATCTACTCAGAAACTATAGGAAGGTAAGACTAAAACTTGAATACACATACAACATACACCACAGAACAGACACAGAAAATAGAGTTTGAAGAGTACAATGAAGACGGAAATTGAAATGTCTGGACAATGACAGCAGGTCTCCAAAGACCATCACTGACAGTCAGACAGACTGCTATAAGCAATTAGGGAAAAAAAAAAAAAAGCTGTAGGGGGAAGAGAGATGAGAAGAGACAAGGATATGAAAGAGCATGCCTTATCTACTTCCAAACCAATAGCAGCATGATAGAATGTAGACTAGAGAGGGACTCACAGCATGGTACACCAAAGAAAATGCAAAACATGCCATCTCAAAAAAAAAAAAACAACCTACAAAGCTGAGAAAAAAAATACATTCAGTAACATCTTAATAAATGAGTTAATAAATGTCATTAAAATGAATGTGACATATATAATAAACTATCCATGACACTTTCACTGGAACAGTACAAAAAAATTAAATGAGTACTGTATTATGAGTAACTGGATTCAAAACAGGACCAGAAATGCAAAGAATCAGGTATTTGGTTGCTGTTAATGGAGAATGAGACTGCAAGAGAACATGAACTACTGTATTGTAGGATGTGTTTTGAAGGAAGAACTGGGGAAAGAAGGACATCAATGACAGTGTGAATATGAACAACCATGGCAGCACAAGGGCTGGTAAAGACGAAATATACATCGTCATGATACAGTCAAAATGAGGACAGGAGATATTAACAGTGAAATCTGCTTTTCAAATGCAACAATCTGATACACCAATGACTCCACAAAGGGGAAAAAAAGCCTAAAAAATGAATCCTGTTTTATTTTGTACTTCCTGCAAAGAAGTTAGTGCGTGAGTCACAAGAAACACTGGAGAGACAAAATGCTGTTCTCTCTCTCCTCTTTGAGATTGGGGGCTCATATATAAATATATACACAGAGATATATATACACACACACATAGATAGATGAATATGTATAGGTATATATGTGTGTGTATATACAGAGAAAGATAGACAAAGATGTTATCTTCCTGTGTTCTTGGCAAGGAATTAGTCCTGAAGTTAGAAGGAGTGAAGGTAGGATTGAGGTTGGAAGGAAAGGTAACGAAGAGGGCATACCGCTTTCGGCTTCTGCAAACGACAAGAAAAAAATTGCAAATCAAACACTTTGATAAGAAATCAACTGACACCAAAGCAAAAGCAAAAAAACCCTTTATTTAAAAGTCTTCAAGGCTTAAAGGTTTTTCTGCTGAGAATGAGAACAAATATATGGATAGACAAAGAGAAAATTTTACAAGTGGAGTATAAATGGGGAGCAGGAGGGAAGAATCCTGGTTAGGCTTTCCTTCTTGCTTAGTTATGTAGAATAAAAATACAGGGGGGAAAGGAAGGCAGAAATCTCTCTAAAAGGGATTTCAGATGAGGAGTTTGAATGTCTGAATTTTGAACTGTTATTTTTTGCTATATATTCAACATTGGGATATTTTCAGGTTCACGTTCTCTATGTTTCCTTTGCATTTTTCTACAAAAAAAGAAAAACCTCTCCAAATAAGCTAAGAACATTTTTTAAGTGATAGTATTTGGCTTGCATGAGGGAGACAAAAAATAATTTAAGTGCTTCCTGTTCTTAATCACGGGTTATAACATTCCCAGAAAGCAATTAGAGATGAAGGAATGGTTCACTCATATCGTGAGCTGGAGTTACTAGAGTGCAGACTTTAGTAGCTAGTCAGAAACTCTAAATTGAGTTTTGTAAAGTCAGAGATTTCTTTGATAGCTGAGAAATAATTTAAATGTTATTAAATATATAAAGGCAAAGGTTAAGAAATCTAATCATAGGGTTTTTAATGAATCTTTAAGATACCTTCATGAGAAGCAATTGTGTAAAACGATAAACGTACTCTAGATACTCTATCCATGATATGAAAACTAATATACATTTATCATATTTATAATTATATTAATTATACTTAGGCTTGAATATCAGCTTTTAAACATTTGTGTAAAATCATAATTGTTATTAATTACCTACCTAAACTGACAAAACTTATCAAGGTGTGCTTTCTGTTTCATGTAGCTTTATTAATATTCAGGAAAAATGAAGAAAGAACCATCTGCAGGCAGGAAGCTCAACTGCCACTAACATGTACAGCAATATTAGCTTGGATAGAGTTCTGATAATTTTTAATTACTATTGATTTCAAATTCCCTACAGTAAACAGAATTAGAGTATTAGATCTTAATGAAAGGGTGCCATCTACATAATGTTTTAAATTTTTAGCTATATTTAACATTGTTTCTCTAAATTTTAAATTATATAAAACTTCTTCCATAACAGTTCTACAAAACATGAATGCAAAGTATAATTATAAAATAAATCAGCATGTATCTACTTTCTGTCACTCTCAAAAGACTGAAAACTTGAATATCCATATCAGCTCCCACCTTATGAAGAATTTATGGGAAGAAATTTGGATATTAGCAGAATAAAATATTTCCAATGTCAGTATCAACAAACATAATTGACAAATGACAAATTTACATTGTTCAAAAAGGGCTTGTGCTTCTAAACTGTGTAATTCTAACTTTTATTTTAATTCTGCATCTTTTCATTTAATAAGATGCATAGAAATGCAAGTATATTTAGGAGGTGAGAAACTGAAGTTTTGTTGCATTACCTTTCTGGTTTGACTAAAAGATCAGAAAACCACAAATAACTAGTTAACATATTTGACTTGAAGAGCACAGGAACAAGTAGAAAAGTAATATGCTGCAGGTAGCTCTGTGACTGATCAAACAGTGCTATAAAATTATCACTGGTTAATAAAATCAGCAGATATTGCTGTGGATCAGGGTTATAAGAAAATGTGACTACCCTATTTATCCTCCTCTTTCTACACACGTTCAACAAATCCAGCTGTTAATATCTCTTTCTTAGTATTGCTTCCAGCAATTTTAGGCTCTATTTTTCCCTACTATAATAATTATTGCAAGCTGTTACCTGTGTGGCTTTAAGTAAGAAATATATGATTGTATCACACTGTTTTACTTTTTGTGGGATCCTCTGCATCACCTTTTGATTAAGAACTCAATCCAACTTCCACTGAAGTTAATGCAAAGAATGATATGGAAGCCAAGAACAATCTGTTATTACTGTAAAAGACTGCAATATTAGCATTTATGTAAGTTAATGACAACTGAAGTAATGGCAATATAAAGCTGGCCAATATCTGTTAGGAGAAAAACAGAAACCAAATATTTCCTAACGCTGAAGACACAAAATTTGGTAAATTGTTCCACTGCTGTTATTATTGTATTTTCCTTTTTCTAGAAAAAGATTAAATTGTTCATAGACAGAAGAATAGATTGTTTGTTTTATATTAGCCAATGCAGAATGAGATCTTTCAATGGAAAAGTAATTTAAGAGCCCAAAGTAGCTAAATACAGCATAAAAAATCTGATAGTAAAAAAAAGGATTTCTTAATCAGCATAATGTGATCAAAAATTATATGCAATAGTACATACACCACTTCACATTTCATTTTATAATATATGGAAGAATCCAGCAAAATCAACTATAGGGCATGGAAATGCTCATAAATGGTTGCAACACTGCTTTTTCCATATCAAATTTCTAACACAGGTTTTATAGAATTTTTTAATTAAGAAAAACTATCAAAGTTAATGCTAAGTATTAAACTTTCAAAACCCCAGAAAATGTAGAATGAGTTCAATTGATAGAATTGGTTCTCCTGTGAGAAGGAGCAATTGTCCCCAAAAGTGCCCTTTGGCCACAAAAAGGTAATTAGTGGCCAAAAAGAAGATGAACTACTATGTATCACTTCAGGTCTACTACAGCAATACAAAATGTAATTGCAAAAGAGGAGAATCAAATTCCACTCAGAGTTAGTATTGCCATATGTTTTTAGATGACCCTCCACATGTTTCAGAGAACATTTATAATGTTTTTGTTACATAAAAATGAATATTGTTTAAAACATTAATGGACGAGGTGATGGAAGATTGACTCCAATGTTCAATCATGTTTCTATGAACCTTTGCACAAAAACAAAAATGCAAGAAACACTTCCCATCTGTGAATCTGTACTAAGAATAATGATTTTTTTTTTCTTTTTGGTTAATGAAAATAGACAGCCAATTGGTAATTTCAAGGCTAAATTAATCTTTTCCAGTTTCATTATGTTATTCATGTAAATTTTGTCAGAACAGATATTTAAATTTTATTTAAATATTGTTTACCCTATATTTGTTTATCCTGTAACATATCTAAATTGGTTCCCTCAAACTAATTTAAATGAAATTTGATTTTGAAAATACACATAGCTATAATGAATTTTGATATCACATCTGTTTTCCATTTTTCTGTTTTCAGTAGTGTATGTTGGACATCTGATTAAAAGTGATATGCTATAAACACAAAAATTGTAAGCTTTTCCGTAAGTAAAATCACTCCTGAGATGAGACACATGTACTACTGCACTTTTTACTAAACATTCTGACTTGGGTTACTTTTAGGGAGGAAGAGGGCAGAAATAAGTCCCTTTCAGGCCTATGCGAAATGCTGCAATGCGATGGCATGCTAATTACATTCTGAAACGTTTCAAAGAATAGCTAAGCTCATTCTGGAAAACAAAGCAGGCCAAACTCCTGGCAGCGCATTCGAGCACTGCCCGGGCCGGTGCCGTGGGCCGTACCTGCTCTCGCGCTTCTCCGACTTGTACTCGATGGCAATCATCAAGAGCTTCAGCTTCGCAAACACCAGCCTGCAGGGAGACAAGAGCCCAGCAGTCAGTGCCTTTGCACAACCTACACCACACACGGGCAGGTGGCTGCTCCCACTGGTTGAGTATCACTGCAGACACTTGCTGGCCTCGTTAGGAACATTTTGGGGTGGAGAGTGCTAGGCCTAGAACCTGGCTGAAAGTTAGCCTTACATTATTAAATATTAGAAGGCTCTGCACTAGTGGGAGACAGATTGGTTAGTTCATCTTCAATAACATCATTCACACCTGGTCCAGCAACATCCAAGGGCACAGAATGTCAGGAACTACATTCACATATTCAAAATATATTGCTGGAATATGTTCACACAGTACACACATGTGGAGTTATAAACAGAACTTGCAGACTGATATTAACTTCTATTTCCATCTAATTCTTCAACATAGTGTTGACATCAGAAGCTGGAAATTCTTCAGCAATATTGTGTCCCATCCTCACTGTCTCTGCACACTCTTTGTTATCCAGACCGTATGGCAGCCTATTCACAAAAAAATCACATTCCTAGACTTGCATTTATGACAAATAACCTGAGGAAGCAGAACATTTCATTTAATTTCAGACTTTTAAAATGTCATCGACTGCATGAATTTTAAAAGCTACACTACAAAACCTGTTCTCAAAGTCTGTATATTTCATGGGTGGCTGAATACACTAAGACTACACTGATTCAATTTTGCCTTCACAACCAATGCAATGGACATTTTGCTGTCCTTGTCCTTTGGTTCTTCTGGAAACTGAGCAGTCAATTCTTACATTAATGAGAATACCTATACACTAAACTCATTAATTAAAGTGCTTGAGGAGACCTCCAAAATTTAGATATCTTTCTAAACCTCAATAAGCACCCTTTCTTTCTTGATTATTTTATCTCCATTCTACCAGCACAGATAAATGAATGTCAGCTTTGTGTCAAACACAGTCTCAGTTATATCTTCCTACAAACTCATATAGAAACTTGACACAGTTAAAAATGGTTTGGTGTGGAGATTTAATTTTCATTACTGTAGCTAGTGTTAACAGCACAAACTACTATTCATTCTGAATATAATACACTTTTCTGCATTATGTTGTGAGATTTCCGGTTTCAGTAAATCACAAACTTTTGTGCCTACAGTAAAAAACTTTTTCCCTCAGTAAACTCAAGAGAGTTTGGCTGACACAGTAGAAGGATGGATTGAGAACCCCTTCACTTTACCAGGAAACTGAAGACTGGGCTCTGTCATAGATACATCCTAGACAATTTATAAATGGATAATATTAGTCTAACAGTTGTCTCCCCCTCATTCTTATGCCATGTTTTTGGTCCTGTTAAAATTGGGAAAGATGGGGAAGTTAGAGGAGTAGAAGCATAATCATCCTCCTTTACATAAGAGATTGTATTTTACTTCTCCATTTCCTCCTCTAGGAATGGAGCAAAGAGGAAATATGAGTGTGCAAAACTAACCTGATTACGTAGACAGAGTACTTATCATACAAACCTTTTGCATACAAATCTCTCATTCACAGACTCATTCTAGGCTAAGCATTTTTCAGTATCCAGAAATGAAGCTTGCACTATGGTTATGTACTATGTGCTTCTTTCTCATAACTGAACAGACATATCTTTTCTCTCATATATTTTACTTGTTGCAAATAGTTTGCAACCACTTCTATGGAGCTCTGAGTGCCACACTGCTTATATGACTCCATGACATCTGTTTAAATTAAGGAATAGTTTCCTTGGAACAGAACACAAGCCAAGAAGGTCATGTTGACCACCACTATTCAAAGGATGGGAATCATTAGAAAAATAACAGGATAGTATTTGTGAGCAAATTACTCAATTTAAAAAGATTGTTTATGAGTTTGTTCAAGACAAAAAACATTTATGCTTTAATTTACAATCACTTAATTACAAATCTCTCCTGAAACCAGGCATTACCATGTTTCACATTCTCCAGTGCAGTGATTGCTTTAATGTTTATTTTATTAGACACTATCTGATGCAGCAACATTAGGACTTAGAGTCCTCACATTAGAGTGAAAAGGTCTCATGCAAAAAACTTAGATTTCTGTTACAAGAAGGTAAATATTTCTGCACATTAAATGTATTTCTACTTACTCACAAACTGCAGGGAAGGACAAACCCACAAAGGCACTAGACAGATATTCTGTATACATTTCATTTGCAACTCCTTCCAGGTAGTATTTCTGCCACGTATCCTCCTCAATCTAAAACCAAAGAAACAGATGCAGAGTTCTGAGTCAAAACCACAGCTTTCTTTGAAACTTACAAGCAACTGCTTAAACATGAATCAGATTTTAACAGATAAGTCAGTACACTGTTATGGCAATTAACATTGCTTATTAGCGAGGGATTTGCTAGAATGCTGAAAAAAACCCTCAAAACAGAGTCCCTGTATTCAGTAAATCAAGTATCATATGCAAAAATAATACACTGAAATCTTTTCAAGCACACTGAGCATGAGGTGAAATAAAGTCGTAGAGAGCGTGAGGAAAAAGTTCCCAAATTTTCTCTTTTTAAAAATAGTAGAATCACAAAATGTTAAGGGTTGGAAAGGACCTTAAAGATCACCTCCCTGCCATGGGGAGGACAGCTTTCGCTACAGCAGGTTGCTTAAGGCCTTATCCAACCTGGCCTCGAACGCTGCCCAAGCTGGGGCATCCACAAACTCCCTGGGCAACCTATTCCAGTGTTTAGCTACTCTCACAGTAAAGAATTTCTTCCAAATATCTAGCCTAAATTTCTCTCTAAGTTTTTACCTACTACTCCTTGTCCTATCACTACTGTTCATAACAATGAATCCCCCTCTGGCTTCTCTGCAGATCCCTTCAGATACTGGAAGGTTTCTACAAGGTCTCCACACAACCCTCTCTTCTCCAGGCTGAACAGCTTCTACCCCAGGGGGGGGTATAGGATATCAGGAGATGTTTCTCCACCAGAGGGTGGTTGGGCACTGGAGCAGCTCCCCAGGGCAGATGTCACAGCACCAGCCTGACAGAGCTCAAGCAGTGTTTGGACAAAGCTCTCAGGCACATGGTGTGACTCTTGGGGTGTCCTGTGCAAGACCAGGAGTCAGACTCAAAGATCCTTGTCAGTCCCTTCAAACTCCAGATATTCTGTGATTCTATGATTCTCTTGGACCAAAAAATGTAAGGTTTTCAAATTTCAGCATACCAGGAATATTCTGGCAGGCCTTAATATAGTATTTTAGATAAGTTTGTATTTTTATTCCACGGGCTGGTTATTAATTTAGGATTCATCAGTCTTTCTCTCATGTTGAACTAGCCAAAAGGCACTCTTTCAAACTCTTTCCAAAAAAAATGCTCTAAAGAACAGGAGGACAGAAACTTGTTAAGAAACCTGGTGAAATATAAGTTACAATGATTTTTTTCCTCTTTTTGTTTTTTTGTTTTTTTTGTTTTGTTTGGGGTGTTTTTGTAGGGCTTAGGGTTTTTTTATTTGTTTGGGGTTTGCCTTTTTTGTTTGATTGGTTTGTTTTGGTTTTTTGGTTGGTTTTTCGTTGTTGTTGTTTTATTCTCTCCTCCTGTTGACAGGCTGCCAAGTAATCAGTTACTTTAGTTCTGGAGATGTAAACCACTGAAAGAATAAACTGCAATATGGAGATGCTCCAAATCATATACAGCCTGACAAGTGGGCTGCAAACAATCAGGAGAAATTTCTTCCACAGAAATTTTTTCACCATTCAGAGGCCATGTGGGATGGTAAAAGGAATTTGCATTGTGTTATTCCCCACCACACACAGAGAAACCATATCACATTTTTTATGACCCTTTTATTTATAGGAAGCTTGCAAATGTTGCTGATCAGCAACTCTATATACAGAAGAGAGATAAAGTCCAGGCTTGGTAAAAAACTAAGACTAATGATAGCAAGGGCATGTTTGTAACTTTTGGTCTATTTTGTGGCTTTTTCTTACATTGACACCACCTGGGGTTGGAAAAAAATATACAAATACATTACATATCTCCCTTTTGACTTTCCTTCCTTGCTTTCTTTTCTTTAGGCAGATGGTTTTGATTTAGAGGAAGGAACTCCAGATAAGTCTATAGTTAAATACTCACTCTTAGTCAAGGACTAAGAAGGGACTGGAAAAAACCAAACATTCCCAAAGCAATGACCAACCTCCAGAGATGCCAGTTCGTGTTACATTAAACTTCATTAAGTGATTGGAGTATTTAAGATATGATCTGTTAGAATACCACAAAATGTTGATGATAGAATTAAAAGAGTTGCTAATACTTGGGATGCTATAAAATATTATTATAAGATGATTGCAACAGTTGACTAAAGATGATCTTTCTGTTTTATCTCCACCTGAACCATGACATTTTCCCAGTGATTTCAAAGAGACAGATGGTCACCTGTCTGGTATCTTTCGTGAGGAAAAATACTTTAGGAGTCATTGTGCTCTTCACTACTTTAAGCCTTTGTGATGATATTTTAAAGTTTAGGTAACTGATGGAACCTATCCAGAATGGGCCACACCACCAAAAGAACTTCAGCCTGAATCTTTCTGATTCCTCTCTAGTACTGCAAATATTATTATCTCTCCCTGACTAAGTTGCACTGCAATTCTGTCTCCTGATAGTCACAAAACAAATTAGCCACTGCTTCAATTAGCCATTTCTTCAATATGAAGAATAGCTGGAAAATTACATAGTGCAATCCAAGAGAAAAAATGTAATTTTCATCTGAATCTTATTTTAAGTCACGATACTCTTCTGCTCTCCTCTATGTTATATATAGATACAATATTGTTACCAGCAAATATATTTACATAAAATAATTCCTAGTGAGACATGGTGACAGAGATATGAAAAAGTGACATAGCTCTTACAAGCACAGCCATCAGTATTGTCAGAAGAAAATGAAAACCTTTAATACACCCAGCAGTGTAATTATCAGGAGCTCTGTAGCTCCGAAAGAGCTCTTGCTCATAGCATTTGCTCTTCAGCGTAATGATGGGTACGTGAAAGACTGAGTGTATCTGAACCTACTCATGCTATAAAATCTCTTCTGCCAAGATCTAAGCATCACTATCAAGACAGAGAACAAATGCTAGAGTTGCATTGTGACCTAGGATTATTCATTGCTATTTGCAAGGCAAAGGATGGTGGATATCCAGCTCCTTTATAGCACAGTGAAAGGAGATGTAACGTCTGCTCCTTAGCATTGAATAAGATCAGCTCTTCACCACCATGGAAAGAGCACAAAACGGGACAAAGTCTTTGAGGATGTTTAATGTTACAATTCTCTATCTCAAGCAATATAGATGAGATTGAAAAGGAAGTACCCAGAGAACCATAGAATGGTTTGGGTTGGAAGGGACCTTAAAGACCATTTCACTCCACCTCTCCCACTGTAGGCAGGGACTCCTTCCACTAGAGCAGGTTGTGCAGAGCCCCATCCAACTGGCCTTGGACGCTCCCAGGTGTGAGGCAACCACAACTTCTCTGGGCAACCTGTTCCAGTGCCTCACCACCCTCACAGTAAACAATTTCATCCTAATTCCTAATCCAATCCTGTCCTGTGCCAGGTTAAAGCCATAATCCCTTGGCTAAACTCAATATGGCCTTGAATATTCTTGAATGGTAGTTGAAAAGGATGTGTACAGTGAAAGCAATGTAGCTAAAATATTTCCTCCCATTCACCCATAATGCCCTTCCAGCCCACCCAAACTGCTTGAGTGAATGTCTAGTTTTGTTATGCCTTTGCATATGGATATCTAAATCTGACAGAGAAGTAACTGGCTGAAAGCAGTTCTTATGGTCATATCATAGAGTTAAGCTTCATAGATTTACAGTCTTATAATTGCATTTCCTTAATTATTATAAATTATCAACTACTTCTTTACTCAATTCCATTGTCCATTGAAATCAAAGCTAACAAATATCCTATGTACTATGAACACTTTACAATCTCAGTCAACTATTTCCACAGCTTTCTGTATGCACTGATGATTTTTAGAATTTGTATAAAAAGACTATATTTTATAAAACATCAAATATGCTGATTGAGATTAGTGATAATTTCAAATGAGATTTATGCACTTTTCCCCATAATACTAAGGTAGAATTTTGTAGTGGGTCAAGGCAGAGAGACTATCCTTGAAATAGAATGACATGTTACTCTTTTAGATTCTGGCCTTGTGGGATTTGAACTGAAAGGCATACAGGCTCTACATCCAATAGTTTCAAATACACAAAACAGGACAAGATTTCTATCAAATCATGAGGCAAAGGATAGACAGGTGTTGACCTGTTGAAATTATTGACTGAAAATGAAGTCCCATGGTAGACTTTAGCCCAAGACAAATACACTCTTATCACAAGGACTGATACTATGTATACACAGCAAAGAGTTTTAAACTACAATAGATTTTAATTCCTAGAATCAATGATTTAAAAACACTACAATTAGGAAGATCTTTACATGATCTCTGAAGATAAATGTATTTGGTAATGGGCTACATTTAATATTTGATCTAGGTCCTTGTGAGTAGGATCATGCAATCAGTTTATTATGCAACTTCCTGAAGAACCTCACAATAAATTGAAACATTGCATTTCCTTTTCACACCCCCTTTTAAAGCCCTCCCACATGTCAAGGAATTCACTGTTCATTCTCCAGTTCTACACTTAGAGATATTCCAAGGCTGCCTAAGTGGTCAAAAATAAAGAGCAAACAAGTTGATGTGTTCCATCAGTGTAGGTAAGCATCCAAATGATATGAACCTGTGATCTGCGTGGTTTTATTATGTCTCTCTTTCAGCCTGGACAAGAAAGGAATGTCAAGTGGGTATTGCATATGTGTAGGTGTGAGCAAAAGCTGCTGAAAGAGCCCACAAAACACTCCTGCCCTCAAAATAGTTTAGAGGATAATAGGGACTGCTCTAGATAATTCTGACATTTGGAATGAGGTGCATGGGCTGCCTTACCTATAGAGCAAAGACAAAACTAATTTGGCTGTGGACTTGTGTTACACTCAAGTACCATATTCCACATTTTATTAATTTACACAACAATACTAACTTGGCTTTTAGGTTGTACATTGGCCTGTAGGATTGGCCTGTACAAAATTTAATCACTTCTGCCTATTACTCCATGTATCTGGTTTTTGCAATGTTTTTCATATAGACAGACTTCTGGTATGCACTTGCTAATTCAAACAATACAGAACCTACAGTACAGTATTTCCATCTTTTTCTCAGACTGTGCAAGTTAATAACGAGTCCAAATTCCTTTTTTAATACAACAGTAACAGTCTATGTTATAAGAAGACTGGATTATTAAAATACAGTTTACAGGTGTAATGTTTTGTGGGGTTTTTTCCCCTTATCACATTGTTTGGTGCAATCTATCTGACTTTAAGTTTTTACAGAATATTAAGCTTTTTGAGCTGACTTCCTTTTTGTTCAGTTTGGTGCCAAAAAGAATATAAGGGATTCCATATGATATTATATTGCTAAAATCAAAAGAAAAATATTAGGAACAAATATAATATTTTGAGGTTTCTTAGTTTGTTTTACTTCTAACACTGAGCAGACTGTTTACACAAATAATTTTGCTGTAAAGTAACCCATAATGAGTTAAATGTGTGCAATGTCACCATCAATCATGTTCATTTGTGTTTGACTGACCAAACATTTATGGCACATTAAATCACTTTCTAATCACGCTATAGAGGCGGAACAAACCCACATTTCAAGCTTTCATTAAAAAAATACAGAAGTTTCCATACATTTTCCTGGCAATCTCCCGACTGGTGAGAGACTCCACTAATAATGTTTACCTAAAGAATTTATGAAGGTCTGACAGTACTTAAATTGAATGTTCTTAATGAAAAGGGGTGAAAGTTATTTTAGGGAATGGACATATTTCTCTTCAATACAGTCCTCTTCAGCATTCCTAATCAATGTAGCTGCTCTCCTACAATGCACTGATGATTCACAGTCACTATTTAGTAAGTTTTCTTTTTCAAGTTTTCAGAGTGAGACAGACATGAGAAAGATCATCCTTTCAGCTAAATAAACAAACCTTTTGTTATCACCAATAGGGTTAGTCACATAAAGAAATGTGTCTCAATTCTTGCACTTTTATACGGCTTCAGATTTTGAGTTAGTCAGAGATCTTCGGAAGCGAAGATGTGCATTTTACTTGCCCAGAAAATTCACTCTTAATTATATGGCAAATATATTTTTAACCAGTATTAACAGAGTATTGCAATCTTAATGTGCTGTCTTATGGCATTTTTTCCTCCGAGTGACATGTGAAGGTGACACTTGAAGTCACACAATTTAAGGAATGTCTGCACACTACTCTGTTTAAAACTATATAATCAGACACAAGAGCAAAATTGACAATGACAGCTTCCCCCAAATTAAGTTTATTGCTATTTTTATACTTATTCTGTATACAGAGAAATACTTAAATGTACTTTGAGTAACGCCTTGCAAAGCTGAGCCTTCAGCTTAGAACTGTTCATCAATGAGACCTAATCTGTAACTGTACTGGAACTACTATAAAAATGTATTATAAAATAAGAAAACATAGCTGGCTAAGATAATAACAGAAGTGGTTATATAACTTCTGGAAACATGATACCTGTACATATCCAGGTTTTGACTTCTTTAAATGTTTTTAGATAAAAATCCAGGCCATAAAAGTGTATATTCCTAGTACAGTTCCCCCACAGTCAGACATTTGTACACTCTATCATTTTATGAATCTCTCCACTTTCTCACTGATTTTAAAAATCAGTATTAAAGACTATTAAAAAAAATAAATATATATATAAAAATATATATAAATATATGATATATATATATTATATATAATATATTAAAATTAATTAAGACTGAGGCTTCTGAGGATACCAATATATTTGGATCTCCTTAGGAGAAAACTAACCCCTCCTGATTTTGGAAAGACAGAAGGTGAGCAAACTTTTTACATGAACTCTGCTGCAGAGCCTGAGTTCATGTAAGAGGCTGCCTCAGTAATTTGCATACATTAGTGAGACTGTCACAAATGTTTGACACTCCTGAGAGTCTTGAGTTACCAGAGCAGACAGGAGTGAGAGAGACCAAACTGACTGGCAAGGAGAATGATGCTCACAATTTTCTTCTAGGATACAGATAGAAAGGATTCATATCAAATTGGAAATATGTTGTAGAGTCACAGACAGATTCCAGGCTTGCTGAAGTAAAACAACTTTTTGTTTGCTTGCTTCTTTCAGTTGGGTTTTTTTAGAGCGTAAATAAAGATGAAGATATTCAAACTGCAGGCAGTAAAGTGCAGAGCCCAGACCTGCTTCCATATTGAAAACTGGTCTTTTTTAATTAAATGTAATAGTATGAAATATTTTTTCATGGGAGCCTGCTGTCTTCTAAGGATACCTTCATAATAATGTCAGGACTTTATAAGAAGCCAATAAAGATTCACTGTCGTGCACCAACATATGCACCTCTAAGAGAACAGTCCTGGCTTTCTCATCTGAGGACATGAGGGTATTTTCATTTTTGGCTTACTTGCACAATGGAGTTGGAGTGGACCATGGCCTTCCTTTCACTCCAGTGTTTCCCATCCCACTAAGAACACTCATCAGACTGGAAACTGCCCACCCTTATGTTTGGAATCAGTGTCCCTGAATTGCACCAGGAAGGATGCAATGATTGCTGCGATTGAGGCCTTGGTCCAGTACAGCTGCACAGAAGTCTAACTGGGTTATAATTTTGCAATCTAAGTCCAAAAGAGCTCTTAGACTGGGGAGGAACAAACACATGAATGATGTCGTGGGAAGTCTGGGCCTCAGTTCTAACACATGTTCCTTATTTACTCACAGTCAGAGGTCCAGTAGTCTTTTGATGTCAAAGACAAAAATGACCAGTCCCTTTTTCTTGGCAATTTGTTGCCACATGGCACTTGGATAAATTATATTTTTGTTTTAGCAGCAGCAACTTTTCTAATAGACAAACATGTGGTTTGGCTAAAATCAAGCGAAAACACAAAATGCCAAAAATATCTCCCTGGAGATGGATTATGATTTGGAAAATACTTTGAAGGCCAAACACTTGCCGAATAAAAATTAAAAAAAAAAAACTCACAAGTCAATATAACCTAGTTTATTGCCTAGTTTTCAGCAAAAATTTGCATGGAACTGTGTGCTGGTTGTTTTGGTGTTACAAAATCTGTTACTGTCTTTCTATCTGTTTCACATTTGAGTCATGTTCTCTACTCCAGTCTCTGACAAGCTGAACTGCAGACTAATATGTTCTAATGAGAAAGGCATTACCTTTATGAAGGACCTCATAGAGAAGAGGTTGGCTAACATTGTGGAAAGGCCTGGTGCCAGGCAGCTCTGGGCTATGAAACCCAGCTTCAGCTCAGCAAGACAGATTGCATCATCTCCTTCTTTCCAGTTCCAGCTTGGGATATTTAGTAGATGGGCCTGGAAAACAAACAAACAAAATATCCCACAGGTGAAGAACCAGAAACAGAAGACAGTTCTGAATTATTTTCTCTGTTAATACCTTGATTTTTTTCTGAGTAGGCAGAAGCACTTCAAGTGTTTCAGAGCTTAATTCCATGCTGAGAAATTTTCCACTCTTACCTACTACAGATAAAATGCTACACTACTGAAGACATGCTGGCTGTGGCACTCTGTCAGGTCCATGCTCACACCTGAACAATGTTGTAAATGCTTTCCTTCCCTTCTGCATGTTCCTTTTACAGCACTTTGAGCTGCCATCTGACTGATGAGGAACACACATAATACACAGGAAGCTAATACAACTTAGATTTCAACTTATGTGAAGCTGCAACCTTTAAAGGATACTAGAATTTTAAAATGCATACAATATCATCTCTCTTTTCTATTTCATTTCTCCCACCTTGAAGAACGGTACTTGTGAAAAACCAACCCCTTTCTGACAGTGAAAAACCAACCCTTTTTTTCTAAGAATGCTATTTATAAGGACAGAATGAAGAAAATAACTCGGCAAGACACACCTGCAGTATTGAAACTGATAACTTAGATAAAGACAAATATTGTTCAGTTCCTGGCACAATTGTTGGATTTTCTCTGACATGAGAAACATAGACACCTGTGTGTCTATGTTTGTGTAGACACCAGGAAGCACAGAGTTTTTCCTCCTTGTTCCCCTTCCTAAGTTAATTCCACAGCTCAGCACTTTGATAAAAGCTATTCTTGAAGACACAACCATCAGAATGGCAAACAAACTGCAGTATTTAAAAAGACCCCTTCCCCTCTGTGACTGTTTAAAGCAGAGAAACTCCTTGCTTTTATTCTATAAAAAGACAGGCTTCTTCCATAACATGCAGGAAGAGCACAAAACAATCAACAGTAGTTGCTCTTGTTCTAGCAACAGGTTACAGGTTTAAGGAGTTGTTATCAAACCTTCTTAGTGCCAGATTTATTGTGTATTTCATCAAATGAAGGTTTACCCAGCCATGCTTTTTCTCAAAAACTGGGCAGTGATTGATTCTTTCAGAGCTAATAAAAGAAGCAGGCCACACATGAGTACTGTGTTACCTGATATATCCTTCCTAACCCTGTTAGTCAGCAGTTTATGGACTTCCTCATCTCAGGATTGAATAAATTGACTTCATTGTGTTTAAGGGTCACAAATTTACCATAAAATTTTTTTTCAAATTTCTTTCCAAAGTGGATTTATCATCTTGAACTTCACAACACTCTTAGTACTAAATCTCACAACTGGGCTATGTTTTATATTAAAAACCACAAATTTATCTATTTTGTACCTACTGCTTGGCAATTTCACGTCTACATGGTCATGCTGGAATAAAAAAAATGACAATAACTTCCAGTAAGACAATAAGATCAGAACTTAGAGAACTGAAGTGGTGAAAAGTCATCTGGAATCAGTATCAATCATGGACACTAGCTTTGAGAATCAGATCCTAGGCAACTCAAAAATGTCAAGATTTTGATAATATCCCTTGCATATGTAAATAAAACTAATATAGTTTGTAACTGGATTATATGACAAGGTTTATTAAGATGTTTTAGTTTGGAAAGAAAATGCTCGCTGTTACTGGGACTAGAAAAATTATGTATGAGTGAATGCAATGCAGCAAAAAGCTCTGAGAAGAAACACTGGCCATTACATTACCTTATTGTGGTACTGCAACATCTGAGTGATAATTCTTATCTTCGGATGATAATTCTTTATGGAAATAACTCTAAAAAGAAAAGGAAGAACAAATTAAAATAACTTTTAATTGATAGGTTATTTAGATAATGCATCCAAATACCTCTATTTTACTGCATTGTCAAGTCCCACAATTAAAACTGTACCCCTTATTCATCTGCCTGTAAAGCAAACTGATTGATGTCAGACCTTTGAAATATTTACACATAGTCAAACTGAGGTTAAAAATTAGTGGCTAGGACTAGAGAGCAATAAGCCTCTAGAAATATTCAGTTGAATGGTTTGTCCTTATGGAGTTTGCAGAAAAAGAGTATTGTTTTAGCAGCACTATTCAGATACTCATCCCATTAGGAAAATAATGTAGTTGGAACTGCTACATCCTTCTCATCCTCAGGGACTATCTTCGTGCCTTTGAATCAACATACTTGATCAAGTTCCCAATGATAAATGCCTAAAAAAATTAATTTCTACCCCATCACATATTATTTCTTTGTAGCTGGTAGATGTTCATCATATCTAAATACCTTGAATAATGATTTTGTGTTACACATGCAAATTTATTAATTTTGATGGATTAATCTAAAGACCAATATGAAACTGATAACTGAATGCAGAATCTATAAAACATGGGGCTACTTGCATAATCTGCATGTTTTCTGCAATCTAAATTACTTAATTAATCCAAGATATACTCAAATGTGTATAGATTTTAAGTGGCTTGAAAGAAAATTGTTTGAGAAATGCATGGATTGATATTGTACTATAAAAAAAGTACTGAGCAAAATTAAAGAGATGAACAACCAAAAACCAGAAAAAAAAGTCCTGTATTTAAAACCTAAAGGTAGAAAAAGAAGATAAAACAATGAAAAAAAAAATCTGACTTATTATGGAATCATCAGTTTCATAAGACTGAATGTCATAAGTGTTTTGTAGACTGTATCTTGTAAACTACTGGTCTGGCTTGTGCTTTTAAGCATATCAAAGCTAGAACAGGAAAAGTAAAATATTGCATTCTTTTAACAAGTCTTTCTTCTAATTTTCCATTTCTTGCTGAATTGTTTAAGCTTTCAATTTTTTAAAATTAAGTTGTGACAAAACACAAGAGAATTCCACTCTCACATTAAAAGTTTTGCATTTTATTACATTAAATGTATTAAATCTACTAAGAATGCATCAATTTGTGACAGGAATATTTTTAATGCATTTATGCAATCAATGTCAAAAAAAGTTTCTTGCATTGCAACTCAAACCATGTTTGCAAAATGAAACTAGGTGTATTTTTTGTGTCTTTCAGACAGCTACATCTCTTGCACACATTAGTAGTTTACCAGAAGAGCAACTTTAGTAGCATTTTTTTATTTCTCCCTTTCCTTCAATACACAGCATGCAAACATCTGACAAGCCAGTAAAATCTAGAGAACAATACTAGAGAACTTTTAATCAATCACTGACTGAGATTTTAATTTTAAAAAGGAGACTGGTATCATTAAAACTAGGATTGTATGAACAAAACAAAAAATGGAATGGCTTAGGTTTGTTGTAACTCTAGCTGCCATCTACTGACTGACTGTTTCATCTCCTCCCTTCAGAGACTACAAGGAGCAAAGCAGGAGGAGATCTGGTGGTCCCTAATGCTGTAATTGCCTTGTCAATCAAAACAAGCAATGATTGGTCTTCAGTGTAAAAAAAAGCAGGATGGGGACAGGAGAAACTGCCCTGTATCTTTGCTATCCCCTGAGCAGTGCACTACTTGCAGGAGCAGCTCCACCATGGAGCAGCAGGAATGAAGCACTGAAGGTGCTTCTGCCCCATCCTTGGCACAGCCCCTGCAGTGCATGCACTCATGCATGCATTGTTGCAACAACCTGACTGCATTCCCTTCCTCTCTGTGTTCAGCTAGGAATACTCAAACCCTAGCTCCTGCAAAATTACTAAGAGCATCAAAGCCTCTGTTCCAAGTGGTTCTTCTGACACACAAAATAGACAGATGAAACAGCGGAGGTAGGAATTTAAGGTATTTTCACCTCTGGATTTTGGTGAGGATCTTTTATTTTGTCCTCAAGAAAAAAATCCTACAGTGTTCTTTGAGTGCAACAGATCAGATATAAAATTAGCTAATCAGAGTTAAGGACCAAAAAGCTATTAAAAACTGCAGAGTTTACCTCATAATATTGGAGGCATCTTCAGCATCTGGGTCAGCGCAGTATTTATTGGCAAGGATTAGGCACGCATCTGCTGACTCTATCTGAGACACCAAAGAAAAAGGAAACATATAAAGCAACATCTCTTTCCACCTCTTCCTTTCTCATAAACTATCAGGGAATCCAGCACTGGCTGCATGAGTGTGAGTGCCAGTTGTCAATATTGCTAATCAAAAATGTTTCTAGGCTAATAGGAGTTCACGACAGTGATTATGACCATTCTCGTGCACACAGAGAATTTCTTGAAACTTGCTTATGGTGATCAGAGCAGGTCAGCAGTTCCACTGACAACTCTTACTCTGTATCAGCTGAGCCACAAAGGTGGTAATGTTAATCTTTTGTAACCAGATACTGGAATTTAGACTTTTAAATCCATCAGAAGTTCCTGTTGCATCAGTACAGTGCTCCCACAAGTCCTGCACCTTTGTTTGGGAATTTAAGTACCTTCCTGTTCAAGACAGGAAGAGGCGGCTGAACTGATTTAGAATCTGAGCACTGGATTTAGAAAGCAAGAGGAGGACACTGATCTATCCACAGCTCTAGATTCACACAAACCTGAGCTTTACAGAACTCAAAGCAGATGACAAAAGTATTTACCAGTGTATAGAACCAAATATCAACACAAAGAAGGGTGGAATACAGAACACAAAATAAGAACACATGAATTTATGATCATAATTAGGACATGCTTTGATGAACTGAAACAGTGTGCATTAGCCTACAAAATCTTAAGCAATTTCTGCAGTCAAAATGGACAAAAGACATTATTAGTATTCCAGAAAGCGTAAATTACACAGTACTAATAAAATATTCTTGACTTAAGTAGCCAGCTGCATTCCATTGGGAAAAAAAAGAAAAAGAAATGAAAAAGTTAATGATGTATCTGACAACCTGATTTTTCTTTAATTTTTGTTTTTTTAAAGCTTCATGCTTTAAGAGAATGAAATAATTTACAATTTAGAAATTCTAGAAAATAAATATCTAAATAAGTAAAGCTATCTAACTTTATCTACCAAAAATCTTAACTTGCATTTTTCTTTCTGGACTCTAGACAACAGAAAAAGGGTTTGGAGGGTGAAAAAATATTTTTAAATTGTTCTGATGTTGCGAAGTCCCTCAGCCCAAAGCGAATGTATGGACCACCCTGGCCAGAGCCCTTGGACAAGATCAGATTTGCCTCTCCACAGCAACAGCCTCTGACCCCCTGTCAACTTGGCTGGTGGGAGTTCCCTTTAAATCCTCAGAGTTCCCAAATGAAATGTGGAGTGCTTTAAATGAAGTTAACTTACTCGCACCTTCCCCTGGCCGTTACCCTGCTGACAATCCTTTACTGTTTTGGCAGGAGTGGGCGAGAAAGTTACCAGTGTCAAAAAGGGAGCCACAAGAGTTCCATCTCTTAGGCTCCATGAATGCAACCTTTTGCATTCACTTTAAATTCAATTCCTGCTTACCATACCATGAAGCTAAACCAAACACCTATCCTGACCCTAGCAACCCACACTACACAGACAAGAACTGGTGTGAAAATTCACTCATCTGGTGGTGATTACAAGCCTTGTGAACTCCCAAAAGGTGTGTTTTTAATATGTGGAGACAGAGCATGGGCAGGTGTCCCTCGTCGTCTGCTCGGAGGTCCACGGTGTTAACAGGCTCACCTTTGGCAAGCTGAGCCTGTTAACACCAAATCGAACAATCCTAATACACTGGCAAACTAAAAACAACACACATACATTGGCTATCAAAAAAAGAGACCTAAGGCAATTAGACCCTGACTGTAATTCAGATCCAGACTTAAGGCCACTGCAATTACAGTCCTGCCGTGGATCTCGGCAGCAAAAACCATGGGAAAATTAGGCCGATTGGAATGTTGGGTTGCAAAACAGGCAAACCTTACTTTTACTGCCCTGAGTGACCTCTTATCAGATGAGGAAATTACCAGGCAAGCCACCATTCAAAATAGGGCAGCCATAGACTATCTGCTCCTTCTGCACAACCACCGCTGTGAAGAATTTGAAGGACTCTGCTCTCTCGACTTGTCATCAAAGGCAGAGAACGTCCATGCCACGATTGACAAGATGAAAACCATGGTGAGCGACATCAAGAGAGAAACTGACGACTGGCTGAGTGGACTGTTCAAAGGCTGGGGACTCTCAGGCTGGTTGGGATCTATTCTGAAAACTGTGTTTTTAGTACTGTTTATTTTAGTTATAGTTATTGTAGTTGTTAGTATTGTTTTTGGACTAAACAAACGCATGGTCCTCAAGTTAATTTCAAGCTCATCTTCCCCTCCTGAGGTCTACCATTTGGAAGCCCTCAGTGCTCCAATGGATGACCTGGAAGCCTCAGTGGAAAACACTGGCCCTCTTGTAGAGGAAGAACTGATTTACCAACCATGGTTTGGCAAGCATTCTGCACCACAAACCCAGTCCTCTTCTTTTTAAACAAAACTAGGGGTATATGTTGCAGTGTGTTGTAATATCCTGTTTTAAACTCCCGGGTCCCTTTCCCAGGTGTGCCTATGTGCCTCTCCCTTCCCCCTCACCCCCTTGCTGAGTGAGTCCTGTCAATCAGGCTTAACATTCCAGGAAGGCCTCGTGTGATTGGTCAAGTTCAAACGATGCCCCTATGCCCAGGGGTCATTGGCCTATCTAGGTGTCCCTAGTCCCTTGAGACCCCGCCCCTCCCACCTGGTTGGTGGCTCACCTGTCCCTTCCCCTCCCCCTGTCCCTGAGCTTAAAAGCCGAATCAAGCCATGCGGTCGGTATTCTGTTGGAGCTGTAACCAAGATTCAGACCTCTGTGACCATGGAATAAGGCTCTGGATATTAACCCTCCGGCAGAATCCGCCTGCTTCCTCCTCACCATAGCCTGAAGCCTTCCCTCCTGAGGTAAACGGAGTTCCTAACAAGCCTGGACTTGTTCAGCTGCCCAGCTGCAACCTCCAGAAAGCTAAAGGTGTCTCTGGGGTGATTACACCACAGCTGCCGCCTTTAGCCCAGCAGCAAGGGTCAGACTGGCCCGGGCACAATCTACCTGGTAATATTGGGATTCATATTCCAATATTCTGAGAAGTTAAGACAACAGCACTTTAAGCAATTACTCTAAGACAGTATCTTGCTATATCAAATATTAATGTGAAATACACTTTTGAATGAAACATCAATGAAAAGCTCATAAAGTGTTCAATGGAATGGCAGACAATGTATCTTAAGTCACTGTTGCTGTAGCTTTGAAGATCTAAAGATATAGGGGAAAAAAGGTTTACCAGTATAGCTACTTAAGATAATAGAAATGGAAAAACATTCTTTTGGGGTTACATGAAGAAGGGCTTTAGTGTCTGGTTTTCTTCCCAAATAATTCAAGGAGTACTTAGAAAAACGTCAATTAGCAGAAGAGAACAACAGAGCTGTTACCTTCACTCTCGCCAGGTCATGGGGATTAAGGACTGAACCCTGATAAAATTCCACCTGAGTGAAGTGCCGTTTAAAAAGAGCTTCCAGCTCAAGGTTAGGGGAGATACTGCAGTGGAAAGAAGAAGAAAAGACAAGAGCAAATAAGAGGTCAGTTTCCATAACTGCTCCATTTCCTGCATTTACAAACCCACCTATTTATTTATTTTAGATATTTAGACTTCTGCTGATGCTTTTTCTGTGGCATGGAAACAGTGTGCCTTACTTAAAAAGAAGAGCACTAAATTGCTTTCACTGCCTTACTTGTCTCTGCAGTGCTCCTGGCCCACCTTGTGCTACTCCCCATGTTCACTGTGTATACATTTCCAAGGGACATGAATCCAGAAGTATGAGTGCAAGCATTTGTAAATACCCTCTCCCAGCATTCTACCCAGAAATCATATAGTACCACAATCATCCTCTGCATGTCCCTACCATTCCCACAACAGCTGTGTTGAACAGAACAACTCAATGCAAGATCTCTAAAAATCAGAAAAAGATACCAGACAGGGACCCTGAGGCCTCTATGAGCTACAATTAAAACAAACATAATGATGCCATGACTTTCTGTCTCATTTTATTTTGCCAGAAACAAAAGAAAAATTAAACTGATTACAGTCAATTACATAACGTGGCACCAATCTTGTAAATATTTTTTCTAGTGCCCATCATTAAAACAGAAGGAATTTAATAGCTACAGGCACAAACAAGCAGCAAGGTGCTAAACTCATTTTATGTGAATGTGCAGTTTCCTGATTCCTATCACCACACATTTTCACTGTGGAAAACTTGATCCCTGATTTCCTCTCACAATCACTTGCTGTTGCATGGAGAGGAAATAAAATAAAATAAGGTAGTTACTTGAGGATGTCATTTCTAGTTCAAATTGAAAGGACTACATGAAAAAATGTGGACATACTGCTGATGCTTAGTTTTCAGATTTCACTGTTAAATCATCACAAATTATATCCTTAACTTTTTAATTATTTTCTTTGACAACAAGTGCAGAATGCATTGCTGAATCCAAAAATATAACATTTATAAGTTGCAACTCTTCTAAACAGACACCATTACAGAACAGAAAAGATACTGTCTCCTATCATGTGGCTTTTTCAAGCAGTTCCCCCCAGGTGCAGCTATTTGGCATTGTAATAGTTATTAAATTATTATTGACTTACACATTGTGTAGAGCATGAAAGAAACATCAACCTCATTAAGACACTTTTCTAAATTCCACATAAGAAAGAGGCAAGATACTATGTGTGTGTTGGTATGTGTATATTAATGGAATAAAGAGCAGTACTGATTATCACCAGGGCAAGAATTTAGTTTCTATTGTCAATACATGTGTAGAGTATCTGTTATATTAAAACTGAATCTGCACCTACATTTTTCATTTTATAAATACTCTGCACTTTAAAATAAGCACTTTCCTATAGAGATCCAGGGTGAAAAGGTGTTTTCAGACACCATAAGTTTGTACAACATACAGTGTTTTTCATTAGTTTTACTGATATAACTATCAATATTTTGGCAGTTTCCCTAGGAATATTTACCACTAAAACAATCTTGGATGTATTTATTTCCATTTCAATATTTTTTATTTCATAAACTGATCCCCACTTCAACTATGCATTTAGCTATGTAGCTGAAAGACAATACAACTGGGTCTGAAGTCTGTCTGCTTGAAACAAATATGCTTAGTACAGGGTTATGGAAATGCATGGGACAAAACCCTTTTCTCAAGACATATTTTTAATAAACGCAAATATTAACCTTATGGTTATTTGGTACTCTAAATATTCTCTGTCATCCCAGAAGATACAGGTTAACCTAATGAGTCTTAGTAAGAGATGATAAGACCAATGTTGAAAGATTACTCACTTATGCAGAAAGACGATTTCTACATTGACATCATCCCTATCCTTGTGCAGGAAGTCCTTCAGGAAGTTCGACACACTTTCAAGTGTTATGTGACCACAGACAACTATGTGCCTGTTACAGAAAAATCAGAGTTAATCTTGCAAAGAAGGTAAAACAAGCAAGCAAGCAGAAATGGAAATGATAACTTATTGAGAAAAAAGAGCATTAATCTCTTCTTGATGTTTCTCTAGATCCTATTCCACGAAGTCAGAGAAGAAAAATACAAATTACAAAAGGTTTTTTGCAACTGCAAATACATCCATGTACAGACTGTCACCTGTGAAGCCATTTGCCCAGGTTGCATTACACATTTAACAATAAGTAGGATCAGTTATATGTATGTTTATGCACTGTATTAACCAGTCCCTTTCAAAGTCATATTTCCTCATTTTACACATCTTACTCAATATTTTTAACTTCTCCAATGAGATTTACTCTTTAATTTTTGGGTTATGACAGCAAATCTCCCTAAAATTATTCAATATTTTTCTATAGTTGAAGCAAACTTGTATGCCAAGGAAGGTAGTACAAAGCTTTCCAATTACAGGCCATAAGTGGCAAGAAATCTTTATCCTACCATAAATCCTAGAAGGAGAGTACTTTACAACAAAAAGTCATTGTTTACTATTACCACTTTTTTGGCAAAGCAGAGTGTGTTACACATTTATTTTGAAATATGGTAACTCCTTTTACATGAGTACTTAGACATCACCAGGACTCAAATGCAATTTTTGAAATAGCAACAATCTAAAATTTCAATTATTTCACTTGATTTAACAGGCAAGAAATACAAGTTTACAAGAGACTCTGGCCATGCTAGTTTGTATTTAACATAGGACTTGGTACATGAATGTTTATTGCTAAACTTGCTATTCATAGTTTCTGCTTTGCCTTTTTTTTTCTTTTAAACATAAGTTTTAGGTGCAGTAAACGTCATTGGACTGCAAACACAAAAATCACAAAAACACAAGTGAAAGCTTTTCTGTTTTATGAGATGGTAAGCACAGTATCAGAAAACAAGGCACAAAATAAATCAGGTCAGCCTCTCTCCTTTGGCCAAGGGGTGCTCTGGAGGTTCCTCTGGGAGCTTTGCAGCCTGGCAGGGTTTGCAGCACGCTGGGTACAGGGGAGCACCATGAACTGCCCCCACCAGCAGGATTCTGCCCCTGCTTCCCTGCTGGTCACCTGCCTGAGCTGCCAGAGGTGTGCAGGCGTGACTTAGTGCATTGTTACACATAAAGCAGCAATGGAAAACCTCAGGAAGCTTCAGATTCTGAAGAGATATTTAAAACCTTAGTAGTTTACTTGATGTGAACTCTGAACAGACTGTTTGGTACACCACATTACACTAACATATAGGCAAGTTCTTTCTGTCTGGTGGTATTCCAGACTTTTCCCAGCTATAAACCCATATAGCATCAAAAACTCACCAAGTCCCAGGGAAATTATAAATAGCAGCTAAAAATAATAATTTGTATTCCTTATACTGTCTGTGCATGTTTTCCAAGATGAAAAATTAATTTTAAACTGATTTTAAACTGTGGGTATTATTTTCTTCAAATGTCTCCATCTATTACTGATTAAGAAATTGAACTTTCCATCTGGATAGCTTATAGCTTTTGATAGCAGAAATAATTCCCAATTGTAGGGGAGGTTCTTTGTACAGATCCAGTGCTTTTAGCTTTAGCTGGGTCTCTTACTGAATGCTCTCCTGATACACTGCATTCCCATGGAGAAAATTTATTACCTCCCTGGCTGATTTCACTTCATGTGGGTACTTCTCTGTCATTAATTAGAGTCCACATTTTAAAAGTATGGCTGTGCAACCCAAAATATTGTATAGCAGAAGAAATTATCAATCAGAGTATCAAAAGATTACAAGGTAATTCATGCCCTCACATACCTCCAGAGGCTATTTGCTACAAAAAGCTCCTGCTACAAGCAGATGCATTTGGTACAATCCTGTTATGACGCTCCCTGAGTAGGGACTCACAGCAATCTGCTCCAGGGAAAACATTTGGCTGCCAAATACTCTTGCATTTGGGTACCAGGACTAATTGTTTTTGGAGTGTTAAAAGGCATCTGCACTGTGGTTTCCTTTTATACTCTGATTTGGAGCTGGACACAATCTATTCTTCTCTTCTTTGCTGTTCTTATACAGTGCATGGCAATATCCTGAACAGTGACTGCAACAAAACCTCCTGGAATTCAAAGAATATTTTCTGACAATATACTTGCATTAATTTTTGGTTGAAAACTCCCACCAAAAAAATGCTCCTTTAACATAAGTCATATTTTTGCTTAGAAGTAAAAGAAATTGAAAACAGATTTCCTACTTGCCCATAGAGAGTTATTAGGTATATTATTTAAGAAAACTTGAAGAGTTTATATTGGAACTTATAATGTTTCAATCTGTCCTGTATATGATTTGAAGATTTATAACTTCCTCTGTTTGTTTTAGTAACCATTGTATTCACTTTTCATTTTTTTTTAAACACCCATTTTTTCATGCACTGAGAAAGTAAAGCCAACATAGTGGATGTCTTTTGTTTTCTGCAAAAGAGTTGGTTAGTAGAAAGACACACAATTAAGTTCATTTGGTCAAGAGAAATATCTAACTTCTGCATTAAGCTTTTCTTTCTGAAAAACCTCAGTACATTATTATTATTTCTTTTTTTTACTCTTTATAAATAAAATCTATAAATTCCCTTGCCATACTGAAAAACATTATTTAAGAATTTAGACATTTTTATTAGTGATAGCTATTTGGGAGGACTAAGATTTTTTTAAGTAGGAGTTGTCATTGGTACACATATCAGATATGAAACTGGTTTAATATACCAGTGGGAATCCATACTGTATGATTGTGAGGCTGCAAAATAAACCTTTTACAAAGAATCAAAAGCTTATCAGGAGCCATATTCTATCAACAAAGATAGGCTAATCCATCATCTCCCATATATATTTAGCATTCTCAAAATGAATTTGAGAAATATGAAAAAACATGAAAATATTTCAAATATGAAGAACTGGCACAGATGTACACAGTTGATTTGAACTGTGATTCTACATAATTGGAATTCTCTATGATAACTAATTTTTCCCATCCTAGTATTGACATAATGATCAATTTACTAAAAATCCTCCAGCTTCTTATAGGGTAAACAAAAATGGAGACAGAAAATGCAAAGCTACTATGGAGACAAACTGTTTCAGTAAGGACCACAATGAAATGAGCAAAAGTTAAAACATCTAGATTTTTGGCATGAGATAATTGAGAACATACACTTAAACCATGTAAATAGCACTGTAAATGAAAACAGATCCACTCTGAATGGGATTCTTTAAAAAGGATCTTCGCATGGTTCTTCCTTCACAGGACATAATACAAAAGGCAAATCTTTAGCCTGTTTATTTTGCAAAAAACATCCATTTTACTTGAATAAGTATAAAGAACCTGAAAAGACTTACTCCAACTAGTCTATTTTAATAAATCAACAATAATGAATACAAAATTCTGTTCAGTATTCAGTTGAATACTTGGTGTTCACTTGTCAAGTAACTAAAGGAAGTGGGGTGCATATTGCTCTAGATGCCTCCATAAAATTATGATATTTATATCAAATACATATGCTCAGATCTTTTCATGGTATTTCTGCTTAGCATTCTGCTCCTTCCTTCATTTACTGACCATCTAAACTCTTTATATACCAACAGCAGGCTGCTCTGTTTGAAGCAGGCAGCACCTTGTAAAGTCCAACAGGTTTTGCTCAAAGAAATGATGGATGTCAGTCACGTTTTCTTGCTAAAAAAGAAGTAAAAAAATTTCAACAGAGACTGTATATGTGGTCTGCTTGTTTATCTATCAGTGATATGCACTCTTAAACATACCGGTTTACAGTCCATTTCTAGATGGTTGTGCTTTTCATGATTTACCAAACATTACTCAGGATTCTGGTCATTCAGCTCAAAACTTCGTGTGTGTTTTTGTGTCTTTCTCTTATTTCAACATAAACTGCCCTCTCAGATTAACTCTGTTAGAGTAGTAAGTGCTCTGCAGCCACAATCTGAAGTGCTTCCCTTTCTTTTTCACAGAAGACTTGAGCCCAAACATGATGGTCCTCTAATGATCTCTTACGAAGCCAACGTGTACAGTAGAAAAATCATTAAAGTGTAAGCTAATTTCTCAATCTGATTCTCCCATCAGGCTCTATAAATCTCCTAGTTTAAAGGAGACAGAGTATATTAAAGGATATAGCAAACTGACTGTCAAGCAAGTTTATCATTTTTTTCTCCTGCAACTGTCCAAAAGTGGATTTTTATTATTCTCTTTATTCCTGAAGGACTAAAAATCAAAAAAAAGTGTTGTAGTTACTAGGAAGTGTTGCAGAAACTAAAATATGTGTGAACATTAAAAGTGCACAAGCATATGGCCATACTGTCAGAGGAGATGTAATTGAAGTATGTGAAAACATATCTCAGGGACCTTTAATTTCTGTAAATGGGACATGATAGCTTCAACTGTCAGCTATTTAGGAACCAGAGTGTGTTTGTGCTGCTGATGTGCTTCATTCTGACAGAAAATTTCTTTTCTTTCCACCAGGTCCCGTGCCTTTGGATTCTCCCTTAATTCATGAATAAAGAAAAAGGGATCAGGTAATACCAGGAAGCCCTCAGAAAGCTCCATTCAGTATGTGGTGCACAGTACAGATCACTGGAACCCTACTGGATCCTACAGCAGATTAACACAAACAGGAAATTGTTCATGTCAGGCATTTGAAATTTCATCTGATGCAAATATTAAGTCACTTTGTGACCAATACAAGAGTGCATTTCAGCTCATTTAATCCAGGATAAATAGCACACTTCTTTGTTTAAACTACACATTAGAGCTTTCATCCAAGTCTGTTTGCAATGGCATGCTATCCTGCATGACTCACTCTGGCCTGCTTTGTTTAAACTTTGCTCAGCTACAGCTAGATGAACTTATCTTGCATTTTTATGATCATGACCTAAGGAATTTTGCAATGTTTCTCTATAAACCAATTTAAAAGTTAATATTCTTTCTCTGA